TGTCTCAGGTTCCTCCCAACCGACTCTGCAAATGAGATCAACTAACAATTTTTTTTTGAGTAAGTTACAGTTGACTAGTAGGATGTTGTTCATTCCTTTTCAAAGAAAGTGCCTGATCTTCCCGTTTATCTTTAGTCCCCAGCTTATCAGTCTTTTTTTTTAGTAGTTGATGATCTCTGCTTGTTTCTAGTGTTTCCATCTTTAACCATTTTACCTGAATCAGTTGCTTGTAGGAGGAGGCCACATTGAAGATTTCTTTTGATTACTCAGTCCCAAGTTAGTCTGTCCTTCTCCATGGGTTCCAGTCCTTCTATTTTTAAGATAGCTTTAGCCTCTGAGTGGGAAGAAATTTTCTATTAACCTTTTGTTCCATCTTCGTCCATGTTCTTCAAAAGGTTCATTGTAACACCCCACTTTGATTTTAAAGAAATACCGGACTTTCCAATAATGAGTAAATAATTTTTCAAACTCATTTTAAAAAACATGGGCGTTATTCAAACATTTAACATCAACCAAGTCATATCTGGTTGTTCGGGGATTCATTACCCAGTTCTCACATGGTTTTCATTAACCTGATTTTCAACATTTTCACAAGTTATTCAGCTCAAACACAATAGCATGAAATAACTAAGCCAAATAGGTTCATCAAAATATCCCAAAATCCAACATTCTCAAACATGAGTTTCAAAACGTTTTATCATGTCTCAACCCAAAACAAGGTTCATAAGACTAAAGCATTTATTCATAAGCGGAAGCATAAATAAGCATGACCAATAAACCAACCCATTCGTCTTTCCTCGTCACCCGGCACCTGCTTAACCTGCATTCGTCAAGAGCAGGTGGGAGTGAGCACAAAATGAAACGTAGTGCTCATCACTATGCACATATACAATAATAACATGTTCAGATCGTATGGTCACAACATGAATATAAATCAATCATCATTGTAACACCCCGCTCATCAGAGTCAATTTTTCGCATCTTCTTATTTTGAAAGTACTTATAAATTTTTCAAAATCTTCTTAACTTAATTCGGAATGCTACTAAACTTATCTTCTTTAAAATCTGTCTTCTCAAACCTTGGTCTAACAACTAGCTAGATATAATAAAACAGATTTTACTTATCAATCATATATGGAAACTTAACTTGATAAATCTTTTAAATTCGAAAAATACTATCATATATGTTCAATATCTAAAAGACGTAGCGGAAATCTTATAAGCATGGTATAATACAAACCGAAACCTTATTAAAAACCCATAATAAAATAGAATTCTCGATCCACACCACCATAGCTGCTCTCACACCTCTGCACCGACCCTTTTATTTGAAAATGATAATAGTGGGGCGTGAGTACTAACTTACTGTACTCCGTAAAAACCCATAACAAAGTAAACAATAATAATACTTTAGCTTGAACTTAAACTTGAACTGTAACTGGAACTTGAATATTAACTTGAACTTTAACTTTAACTTTAACTTTGCAACTACCGGTAACCTGGCCCGGTTCTCACGTGATCACATTCTGGGGTCGCCTTCCACAGAACCCAGTTTCGACTGGGTGAGATTAATACTTTACTTAACTTTAGGATGGTATATTAAGGCCTTGGCCTCCACCCTAAGCTTAAAACTCTTATACATACCTTTGACATGATAATAGCTATTATACTCAATGTAATACCCAGGCTGGGTCCCCACCTTTCTTCTTCGAAAATGTTTGAAAATCGTAAGTGTTGCTCTTGGGTAGCTAACTCCTCAAGCTACATAAAAATATACACAAATATACTAAGTGCTATGCTCATATACTCAATAAGATGTTTTAACCTCAACTGATAACTTATCGGACTTTTTTAAAAAAAATCCGACTATGGCTCAAATGAATACTAATTCATTGAACAACTTAACTTGAACTTTTACTTAATGCCAAACTTAATCCATATAAATCATGATTTCTGAATCTCAGATATTGACTTATACTCTCATGTAAATTAAAATGACTCGGAAGTGAAAATAAGCTAAATTTCACATAATAGATGACCAAGTACATGAACTCAAAACATGCTCAACTTTTACCAACATCATATACATAATTTATAAGGATTTTTAGCTATCAAACTCGGCTTAAACATGCTTGGTACTAAAAATTCAAATTTAAAGCACATTTAACTTAAGTGCTAATTATAAAATGAAAATATGCTATTTACATGCGAAACTTCAATAATTTTATAAAATCGTATAATCAACATATTAAGCTGAAACTTGGTCAAATTGTTAATCCCTCATGTGAGAATTTTACATAAAAGATTCATGTTAAAAACTCGAACTTGGACTGAGTACTCTTGCATATAAAATCATCTTGACATGCATGGGGTATAAACATTTTAACTCATTCATTTCTCAACTTAAAATCATGAAATTTGGCAAGAATGATCTCAACACATATGTTGACATGTCATACAAATTTCATAATTTTATCATGCATATATCTCAACTTATTCCCGTTCAAAGTCACTACTGGAAACATGCACATAAAATTCAGCTTGCATGATAAACTTTAAAAATCTATAACTCGAGCTATACTTAACCAAAAGACATGATTCTTGCTCCTATTTACTCATCATTTACACAAGAAATAGACATAACAAGCTTAACATACCAGGTTATACATAGAATACTTAATTTTTGAAATCAACAACACATAACAATCATGCATACGATCTAGCATAACTTCTTACTTCATGACATGATTATAAATACTTAAAGGCTGGAACTTTAACACATTCTAATATATTAAGGCACTTTAAATTATCATGCTAAAAGAATGACTTATTACCTTCTTCT